ATACATCCTTGTGATATATATATACTTTCTTATGATCAAAATTTGCATATAAAACATAGATATGAAATCTACACGGAGATCTTAACTTCCACTTTTTTTTTTCTTTTTATAGTCTCCTCTCTTTTTTGGAAATCAAAAAAATATGTTCAATCTACATCCCAAATTTGCCTAGGAGCGTGCAGGTTGTCCTTTGAGGATGCAAATTATCTCAGCTTGGAACATATGTACTTCTTATAAGCTGTTTTGACTACTTTGTTGATTGATTAATGATGATACAGAGTAATTTTAATCTTCTAAATAGGCTTAGTTTGAGAAGACAGTGAACATATTTTTGTGTTGCAGTGCACGCCAACGCATAGAAAAGTTTTCGGTGGTGAAGGAGTGTTTCCCGAATTTCTCCGAAAGCTGTTTCGATTTGCAAGAATGAAACTTCCTAGTCGTTGTAGATCGTAGGTGACCTACTCCATTCCGCCAACATAACTTTTAAAGGACCTTTACTGAACGATGATGCTCTTTCAAATGAAGTTTTAATATGTTTCAGTTAGACATATGAAGAATATCATTATTTTCCATCTAATTATAACCCTCTAATTTTCTCTCTATCTCTCTCTCATTTATATACGTGTTTGCGAATTTTTCTCGTTCTATTTTTTCGCTTCGCCGATCGTTTTCCTATTTGATTTAAATATATACCACAACAACTAGTGTATATCTCACAACATAATCTACCCCAAACGGGCCCTTATACTTCTGCCTGGATGCCATACTATCACCATGATTGTTAATGAAACAATTTTGAGTTAATTAGGGTCAGCTCAAAATTAGCTCGTGGTTAGTTATTTTGGATTTTGAGTCGAGTTGATTTGAAATTGAATCTAGCTCGATCCAACTTGAAATCGAAATGATCTAACTCATATTGAGTTATTTGGATCCATTTTAGCGTGGAATTGGCTGGATTCGGCTCAAAATTGAAACCAATTGACTCAAATTGAGTTATTTGAATCCATTCTAGCTCTAAATCGGTTATATATGTAAGCTCATAATTGAGTTATTTGGATGCATTTTAGCTCGGAATTGGCTCGATCCGGATAAAAATTGAAACTAATTGACTCAAATTGAGTTATTGGATCCATTCCAGCTCGAAATCGACTGAAAATATATATATATATAAATATATAGACACACACACACAAAGAGAGAGAGAGAGAGAGAGAGAGCAAACATACTGGCACAAATATAAAAAAAAAACGAACGATCAAGAGGATTCTTTCGAGGCAAGCAATCAAACGACAATCCAAGGCCGAGCATGAAGCCACATCTCAAAATACTAGCTTCCCGCTCGGTAGTGGCAAGACCCGCCTAAAGTGAAGCCTGAATCATCCCGGTAGCGAGTCTTATCAGATATCTTGCATGGGTTGCGATAAAAGACGCTTAAGGCCTTACAAGTTCAGGGATATCCGGCCGTGGTGACAAACCAATAAGGTAGACGAGATGCGAGTCCTGCAAGACTCAAGCGGAACGAAAAATGAGCCATGAATCACTATGAAAAAAGTCGGTCGATCACATTCAACCGACCAACCCCGCATCAAAACCGAACAACCACCTCACAACCTACTGCTTTGGTCGACCGTGCCAAAAGATACCGAGCAAAATCTTCATACGACTAAACACCTCGACAAATCAACACATACTCCAAAGGCCACAGATGTCACTCGGTCGATTGCCTCAGTCGGTTGATTTCAAGCCAGTCGGCTAAATAATTTCCACCTGTTGAAATTCAAATTGTAATACAAATATGACATATAATCTATACAATCAATTAGAATCTTAGTGACATTAAGAACGATTTCCATAACTGTTTTCTCTTTCTGTAACTGTATAAAACACATCTTTATAAGTACGGGTTAAAAATACGAATAAAGGGACATTTATCCCATTTCTCCCGAGCTTATTCTATTCTCTCTTTCTTCTTTCCTTCACTTCTAGCTCTCCGAGCGTGATTTATAAAAGACAAATTAGGATCTAAAATTAAGTCAATTTGAGTTGATTCATGTATGGCTTGAAATAGGCTTAAAAAAATTGATGCAAAAGTCCTGCTCATGCCACAATTTGTTCATTTTAATACAATCTTATTCGGAACCAAAATTTGAATTAAGCATTTAAAAATCTTAGAGCTAAATTCACCGCCATTCTATAACCTGCTCGCGCGTGCTCCGAACCTACACAACAAAACACAACACAGACTGAAGAAGGGAGTGTAAAACTCGAAAACGGCCAGTTGAGTGGATAAAGGCGGAGTGAATGATGCCGGAAAGAAGCACATTGATAGTGATTTAAGAGGAAGCGAGGCACTGCCTCGGGAATCGTTCCCCCACGGACCTTGGGTCCCATTCTCCTCATCCGGGTCCTGCGGGCCCCAACCAACACCCCCTCCACCTTTTCCGGCCTTTGTCGTCCACCCATTCCCATCAACCTCATCGCACGTGCATGTCATCGCCCTCCTCCCTCCCCCGCCCGGCCTTCAATCATTTCTCATCCTCCTTTCTCCCAACTATATATACCTCCCTCCATCTCCTTCCCTTCCTAGCCATCCTTCAGCCATGAATCCTCCGCAAGCTTCCACGACGGAGGAGCTTGACTCCGTTCTATTGCTCACACTGTGGCCGCCGGGCCAGCAGAGCAGGAGCCATTCCTCTATGAGCTTTTCTTCTTCTTCTTCTTCTTCTTCTTCTTCTTCTTCTTCTTCTTCTTCTTCTTCGCTTCATTGGTTGAGGTCGGACTCGTTGATGAAGGAGAAGGGGTGTGGGGAGGACTTGACGGTTGCGCTGTCTATCGGACCGCCAAGCTCTGTGGGCTTCGGAGTGGCGGGGAGTAGGGGGGGGGGGGGGCCC